TGCCTTCTGATCTGAATCTCCAGAGCCCACAACCCTAGGTTCTCCTCACACAGTTCCGGTCCACTCTGCTGGAGCCCAAGGTGAGTGGCTGCACACAAAATTTAGTGTGATGACTCTTTAAGAGGGTACCTGCATTTCTAGCCCTTTCTCCCTGGCAGAAAGAAACCCTGCTGCTTTTCACAGCCAGATGTTATGTGGGCACCTTTCTCAGTTCTGGTGCTCTGGGCTGGGAAGCCCAGCCTGGGGTTTACTCCCCAGAGTCCTCAGTGGGAACCCCTATAGCTGAGATATCCCTCTGGACCTTCAGCTGCTGCCTTTGGGAGCCCAGCCAGCCCTCTCTTGCCTCTGCACTTCCTACTAGTCTCTAGTGGTCTCCACTTTTCCTCCTTGGTTATGAGGGTGCTCTCCAGCTCGTCTTCAGTTGCAGTTGATTATTCAGGATGGTCTTTCTGTTTTAGTTGTAATTCCAGTTTGGGCTCGGGAGAGTGTCAGTGTAGCTTCCACTCAGTCCACCGCCATCTTTAATCTCTATAACTGTTAATTGAATCACTTTATATATTTTGTTTTGTAACCTCATTATCACTTTACAAAATATAGTGGATGTTCTATCATGTCAAAAAGTATAGATACACATAATTTCCCCTGCTTTTGTATTTTTTACACATTACTTGAGTACATGCTTGTACAAAAATCTTAAAAACATTAAAATAATAACTTGGCTGCAGAGTATTTTGTTTTATGGATTTACCTTAATTTATTTAATGGAAGTTCATTCTCTGTGTGACATCTAAGGGTTTCTTTCCTTGGGATCTTAAGTGTGCTTTTATTTCATCAAGAGCCTGTTAGTACCTCTAGTGGTAACCCCAACCCTGGTTGCTGTTGGAATCTATGGAGACTTTTGTGAGAAGTGTGGGTTGCCAGATCGATCCCATCCCAAGTCTTTAGAATCCAAAGCTCCAGGAATGAGATTTGGGCCCATGTCTTTCTATGAGTTCCTGCATTTGATTAAGCTCTTGCAGCCTGGTTGGATGACAAGTGGGATGATCATTTGAATCCTTAAGGGTGTCTTTGAGTCTCCGGGGCCCTGAATTCTTCATGCTTATGTCCTGGATGAGGCTAAGCAAATGTCATTCCTTTAGCTCGGGCTGGTTCTGAGTCAGGTTTGTCCTTGAGAAATAGGATAGTGGCTTGACCTCACCCAGCAAGTTGATTGAAAGTGGGAATGAGATTCTATGCCAACAAAAAGCAATAAAAACAAAGTTTTCCAATGAATGAGGTTAAAAATTAATATTAGTGTTAATGGGGACACTTGAGTGCTAAACTAGACTCTGGAGGGAAGTGTAAGAGTTCTTGTTAGCTGTGGTGTGGGTCAAGAGAAGGGCAAGCTACAAGAAGACCAAGGGACTTAAACCAGGGTCCACATTTAGAAGTCAGGAGAGCCCTGGGTGTGAATGGAAAAAAATTAGTTTTATTCTCAGTGACCCCTGATTCAAAGTTAGCATTTCCTACAGTAATGAATGTAGGCAGCAAAGCACAGTAATATTAGTAGTACCTGCCTTTGTCACTAATTTAATCTGCCATTAGTTGTTGTTATAGAATATATTAATGAAATACGTACATTTAATATGAGGAATTTGTTTTTAAGATATTTTGATAACTTTCAATTTAACTGGTCTCCTGTGTGATTCTATGTATTTTATTTTATGTGCTTCATTAGATAGCCAGAGTCTGAGATACAGAAAGGGTTAATACCTCTATAGTAGAGAGTCTGCCAAAGTTAAAATATAAAAGTTGACTCCCTGAGGAGGGTGCTGGCAAAAAAGATGATACCTTTTCCAGTTTGGGTGGGGGTGGGGGCCTTTGGGGGATGACACAGGAAGCAGAAGAGGAGTCAGAGGGGCGGCCAGAGGTCAGGGAGTTCACGGGGGAGGGTATTATATACCAAGCAGAAGAGGAGTCAGAGGGGCGGCCAGAGGTCAGGGAGTTCACGGGGGAGGGTATTATATACCAAGGACAACATTTTAAAAAGTAAAAATAAGCCGACGGGGATAGCATGGGAAGACAGAGAAGCACCTAAACTGGTTGCTTTCTCGTTATGGTCTTCCTGTGTCTTCACCACCATTTTGACTTAAGGCTCTGAGTTCTATTCTCAGGCTTGGAGATCTCAGGGATGGGATTACAATGAACAAAATTTGTTTAATGATAGAGTTCAGTGCTGGTGGAGATCTGGGGAAATGAGCACTTTTCTGGAATGCATATTCTGGATAAGTGTTAAGTACTTTAAAATATTCATGCCCTTTGACATAGTAATTTCATTTCTAGGACTTTAGCCCAAGGAAATAATCTAAAATAAGGCTTTATGCACAAGTCTGTTCATTATAATTTCATTATAGTGGAAAACCAGAAATAATCAAGTGCTCAAAATAGGAAGATGTAGGATAAATTATGGTACATCCGCATCCTGGAAAATTGGCCATTGAGAATGTCTACAAGGGTTTTTTAATATTAGAGGAAATGCTTACAACAAATGCTAAATAGATTCAAAATTGCATAGAGAAACTATTTCAACTGTGTAAAATGTGCAGAAAAAGGACTGGAAGGAAATATGCCAAAACATCTAAAACTAGCTTCCTCTTGAATATGAAGTTATGAGTATTTTATTTTCTGCTTTTTTACTAAACAAAACTTCCACAGAATGTGTATTTCTTGGGGGGGGG